GCCGCAACGAGCTGACAAGGTTTCAAAACCACCACAAAAAACTCTAAAAACACCATGCGAGCTGACAAACACAAGACCACGTGTTTTTATGACATCAAAGCATTCGGGCCCACCACAAAATCACAGGCAACACAAAAATCTGTAAATAATCATCCCATAGTGTGTTTCAGCACAAAACGATTCTTTTCATCCAAGCACATGCCTCTATTTAGATAATTTTATCCAATCATATCACAGAATCCGTAGCCAAAAGTACAAGATGACTGGTCCAGCTCGCCCAAGAGCTTGCCGTTTTAAGCGCTCTTTACTTTCAAACAAGCTTCCAACTGCCTAGGCCACCCACCAACTCAAATCTTGCACCGATGCTCAGCTCTCACACCTGGAACCTACTCTGCAGCGGCATTTCGTCCGAAGACGCGGCCCTCCTTCTCCAAGGAATGAAGACTTGGAAGACGGTCAAAAGTCATCTGATGCCGAGCACGGCTTGTACCAGCGGTGATGCGCACACTATGCGCTACAAGCTTCTACGCTGCGCCTGCAAGCTCTGTACGGACGTGGTTCCCTACCTGGCCTGCACCTGGCGGATGAAGGTCTTGGTCTGCCAAGATACAGACATCGTCGACATGCTCGAGCTAGGCGACGATCATTCGCGTGCGCGAACGCCATCCAGGTCATGCATTACGCCGAGGTGTCGCGAGTTCATCAAGGAGCTCGTCTGTAAAAAACCTAATGCCGGTACGCATCCGGCACGCTTTAGGACGCAAATTTGGCCTCCCTCCTGCAGCATTAACCAGCCTGCGAGAGGTGCAAAACATCGTACACCACTTTCGGCGCACGCGGCTTGGTGGAAACGACAAGCGCAAGGCGGTCGTGGAGTCGGTGAGGGCCTCAGCATTTAGTGGACGTGAAGGCGACCACGACCCCTTCACGTTCACTAGTGCATACGACACGACTAGCCTTCCTGAGGTTGGAAACGGCTCAGATGCTCGGCCGTTTTTGGTAGGAATGACGACGAAGGCGCTACTTCGTAACGCTGCGAGGAACAGTGGGGCCTGTGTCTTGCACCTGGACGCAACGTTCAAGCTGAACAGCGTCGGGTATCCAGTCCTCGTCCGCGGTATTACCGACGCCTCCAGGGCGTTTCACCTGGTAGCGGTCTTTATCACGTCACAGCTCCAGTACAAGCATTTCGTGGCCGCGCTCGCTGCATTGCGTCGTGTATATGCCCGGGTTAACGGAGCAGAGTGGCGAATGAAATTTGTGCTTGGTGACGCGGACAAGGCACAATACAAGGCCTTCTGCAGTGTGTCCACCGACAGCTCATTTACGTACCTTATGTGCTTTCACCACGCGGTGGCGAAATTGCGTGAGCGTACTCGTGGTTTCAGCTCAGATATGTCTGGATTGGTATACACGGGCATGTACAACTTGCATTTGCGCAGAGCGATGCCGAACATGTCGACCAGAAGGCAGCTATGTTGAAGGAGTGGGCTGGACACGGATCTCGCTGCCTTCACCACGTACGTGAAGGCCCAATGGCTTGAAGGCAACTTCGCAAACTGGCAGTGCTTTCTGACACCATCCGAATATGCCAACACCAACAACCCGGTTGAGCAATCCAACCGAGTGCTGAAACGGGACTACACTCACCACCGCCAGCTGAATATGGGAACGCTGCTCGCCCAGCTACTCGCATGTTGTGACCACCGCTCAATGGCGTTGCCTCAGTTCTCGCTCGTGCCTACCTGCTCGACGACGCTTCAGACACGCACACGGGGGCTTCGTCGCCGCGGACTGCTGAGTGAGAACATAGCTACCAGGTTCAGCATAGACTTTCTCCTTGGCGACGCTGACCCTGACCTCGTACACGTGCGCGCGCTGCCTCCCGCGAGGACATTTGTCCCAGAGTTTAACCGCGCGAGAGAAGATATGGCGACTTCTGCTCAGTTTGAAGTCCGCTACGCGAGCATGGAGGCTGAGAGCCAGCCTCGTACTGGCTGGACGGTCGATCTTTGGTCTGCATACTGTCCCTGCAAATACCACTTTAAAATGGGGGTACTGCTGTCACTTGCTCTTTGCTCAGCAGTCACGAAGCGTTGTGGATGAGGCTGGCGAGGGAATCCTTGTGAGCAGGAAGCGCGTTTAAAAAGCTGGACGCCCGCAAAATATCGGTCACGCTCTGCAGCGTCTGTAAATAACAACGACATCAACAAATAGTTCCTTTGCTCACATGGCTTCATTTGTTTAGCGGTATCTACAAAGCAATATACTAAGGCACAAATACGTAAAATGTTAGCGTTTGAAGGCTCGCATCACATTCGGAGCAATGAGCTGTTACCTTATAATTCCTGAGGGACGGTAGCCCTGATTCCAACAGCATGCATATCCCGAGCGCGGTAGGAAACCGACGATGCCATCAACCTCCGGCCACGAGCCAGTCCCAGTCGTGAGCTGAAGGCCACCCACAGCACGCTTCACTATACCTCCAGCAGCCTGTCAGCATACAGATCACGTGTAACAAACCACCGACGCGCGCACCCTACCTCCAGACGCAAGCAGCTCTGACCACACGATGTAGATCAGCGACGACGCGCACCCTAGCTCCAGACACAAGCAGCTCTGGCCACGCGGTGTAGATCAGCTACGACGCGCTCTACAGTGTGTTACAGGCCACGCCTGCTCAGCCACGTGCTCCGCCCTACGACGCTCGAGTTCTTGAATGGTGAGTGGCCCCTCCTGTTGGTGGAGGAGGTGATACAATTTAACCTAGCCCTTCTGACAGCAAGACCGTCTTGAAGACGTGGGTCGTCTCTGTCCTGGTGCTGTGTTGGACTTTATGGTGTTTGTCAGGGATCTTATGGTGTTTATGATATTTTGTGCAACGAGCTCTGAAGAGCAAGTATCGTGTGTCACCAGCCCTTACTGCTTACTCTTCCACATCCACGCACAACCAATAAGCTGCAACACAAAGCCGGTATTGGAGCGACTGGTGTTTGAGCACATTGCGTGGTCAGCATCTGCAATTTCGTTGAGTACCGGTATTGCATCAACCGGGCGATACATCAAACCAAGCCTCTTCGTTCCAAACCAGATATCAAACAGCGAGCTTTGCCATAGCGAAGTTCGCGTGGGTGTAAGCTACGTTGTATTTGCCGAGGGAACGAGCAGTACTTGCCATATCTGGACGCATACAAGCCACTCCATACTGCAGCGAGCCGACTATTTCTCGGTAGGGAAGGAATTCAGCGCTGGTCTTGGCCTTATCCTTTTCCACTGGGGCATGCGCTCGTTGTGCATCTGCGGTGATCGAATTGTTCTTGCAAGCTCCATACCGAAACGATCTGCCATTCTTTCCACGTACGCTGTCTGCGAAAGATACATTATAACACTGAGCTGAAAGCTGATCTCCATGCCGAGGAGATGCATCACGCGGCCTATAGCTTTAACTTCAAACCGGACACTGAGCTGCTGAATTACTAAGTCGATGTCCGGGGTCATTGCTGCAATCACACCATCATCCACATATACCGTTAAGTAGACCTTGCCATGTAGACCTTTGCGAAAGTAGAAACCAGCGTCGAAGAAGCACTGCGTAAATTGAAGTTCCACCAAGTAAGCATACAGTGTGTCGTTCCAAATCTTGAACGCCTGCTTCGGTCCATAGAGCCCTTTGAGGAGATGACACACACGATCCGTGCCATCATGGTATCTCTGCGGTTGCTCCATGTAAATTTCCACATCGACCAGCTCGCCATTTAGGAATGCGGTAACGAATTCAACGGGTCTGTAATCGTGACCTTGCATTAGCGCGATGACTAGCACAAACCAGACAGACTTTATCCGTGCTACCGGCGAGTATTTTGTCAAGTAGTCGATACCATATTTCTAAAGAAATCAACGCACAGCGAGCCGAGCTTTAAACCGCTGTATTGCACCCATTTCATCCCCCTTGACAGCAAGAGCCTAGTCGGACGTGAGAATATTAACCTATTTTTTCTTAGTAGATTGGGGGCGCGGCACAAGTTCCCAAGTCACATTTTTCAGTAAGCTGTTTTACTCCACGTCGATGACAGCCTTTCACTTAGTTGCATGCTCAGATGCTAGGGCTTGGCAAACAGTAGTGAGGTTCAAAAGCTCATTGACAGCACCGATGATCATGTACTGCATGCCTGTGCATGCCATCACCCATGTAGACGGATCAAGTCGAGGGAGTGGACGTCTGACACGAGTCGATCGCCACGCTGGTATTCCTGGGGCTCTCGTCACTGCTCGACTGTTATTCGCCGGTCCAGCCACTGCTGGTGTATCGTGCCACTGCTAACTTCCATGGAGTCTCCGGCCGCGCTACGTGAAGTCACAGTGAGCGATTTGCGGCGCAAGCCCGAGGTCACTGCGGCTGACAGAGACAGAGCAGCTCACCAACTGCAGATTGGTGCGGACGCATGCGCAATTCAGTATGCTGAAACGTCAAGCTACGGAAGCGAGTTCTCGATCTAGAGGCAATCGTGAGTACCGTATTTTTAATGTGATTGCCGACGTTCACTCATTAATGACTTTAGAAATAGCCAATCATTGCACTCTAAATTTTGTACTGTTGCAATATAAGTGCTTACTGACAGCTTACAAAGTGCAAGATTAAACCTGAGCAATTTACCGTTGGTTTATTTTTTGCTTAGCGATAGGCAGCATTTACTTTAAGAATATGGCTGTCGTTTATCACAGAAGGGATACGGTAACCAAATCAATTTCCAGGTAAGGTATATGTGTACATATAGCGATGAATGCTCTAACGGAGGACTAATAGCCGCAACAGAAGCCCATACGCGTCATCTGCTGTTGGAATCGTGAGGAATCGGCAAGTGCAGCGTGCAATAGTCGATGTGCATCAACAAAGTTGAGGCTCCAATGTTGCCCCAATGTAACACAAAATGCACTGGAAAATGAATGTTGCACTAAGCCACGCGCGAAAAGCCCTTACAAAAACGTGATCAAAGGGGGCGATGGCCGAGCGCAAGCGGAAGGCGCTGTCTTCGTCGTTCTTGTGTTCGCCAATACCCAAAGACCCGTCGCAAGTGTTTTTCGTGGACGACAGAAGCTCCTTGCAGGTAAAGATGTCTCGCTGTCTATCTCTCGATGGTCTTTATTAATGCACTATTGTTGCCTCTTTCGCAGTCCAAAGACGGATCCAGCGGCATCTTCCTAGACGACATGAATACGCCCAACAAAAGCAACAGCCGCTTCTCACCCGAGTACGTACGACAGCTTCATGAACGTGTGCAGGAGCTGGAGACAGAGCGAGCCGAAGGTGCGGCGCATTATGGCACATCCGAAACTTGAGATTGTTGAGTAATGAAGGACTTGGCAGAGAAACAAGCAGTGGAAACTGACAGTGCAAGAAAGATCAAGCGGCAGCGACTTGAGATTGAGAGTATGGCAGTCTCCAAGGTATTTCTATCTGACGATCAACATTTTTTAGAAAGACATTAAGGCTGATAGCGACGGTGTTGTGGGGTATAAGAATGAGGAGCTGAAGCGGGAAGTGCAGATGCTGAAGATTCAATTGGAGACCAACTCTCAGCGTCACCAGATCGCGCTAAAGGAAAGAGACGTGCAGCTAGACCAACTTCGACGACAGCTTAAGTTCGCTGTGACGGAGGAAGAGGAGACACGGACAGAGCTCAAGAATGTCATTAATGAACATTCATCGGAGAAATTACAGCTGGAGAAGAAGGTGGTTGAATTGGAGGCGCAGCTGGAGCTTGTCGAGGGGAAGCTGAACGAGTGGAAGGAGAAAGCTCTGGAAGCGACCAGCCAACTGCGCTCGAAGTCGAGACAGTCGGAGATGAAGGTGAGCTACAACGAAAATGCGCTGAATAAACTACACTTGAGCTGGTGACTGACGTTTATGTCATTTGCCATAACAGATCCAGCTTCTACAGTATGAACTGGAGGCAGCTCAAGACTCGTCGTCGACTTCTTCTCAGGTTAGAGCGGAGCTGATGCTCTATTGCTGTGTATATTTCTTGTATTTATTTGATTTAATGTTCCTCAGAGTGAGGACAATATCTTTGAATCAAAGATTCGTTTGCTAGAGTCCCAGCTGAAGGAGAAGAGCCTCGAAGCTGAACACGCAGCTTCAAGCTTACTTGGAGCCCAAGAGACTCTGGAAAACGCCAAAGAAGTTCGCGAGCTGAACGAACAGATCATGCAACTGCAGTCTACAGAGCGCAAACTTAAAGCTGAGGTGCGTGCACGATGGCCACGTGTTGTTTAAGGCACAAGATTCTGAGACCATGCTGCTTGCAGTTGGTGGACTTGATCGAGGCGTCTCGATCTTCGTCTATTCTGCAGGAAAAGCTGTATCAGACGACTCAGAAGCTGCAGCAGAGCGAAGAACGAAACTCTCAGGCGCTCAAACGCGTTGTACGTTGCTAGGACATAACTATCGCGGTTGCTGTTTGTTATTTAACCCCCTTCTGTCCATACAGGAGGCTGCGATGCTCGTGGAGGAGGCCCACAAGCAGTTCTACGACTACTTCGAGCCGATTGTGAAGGAAGCAAACAGTATGCCGAGCTGCAGTTGTTTGTTACTTTACAAACAAGTTGTTAACGCACTATGTTTGAACGTTTCTAGGTGGTGTGTCGCTGGAAGACCTGAAGAACCGACCTGCAACTGCCGTCATTGACCTGTATAAGGCGCGTCAAAATGCTTTCGAGATTCTCCTGGAGCAAAAGAGCAACATGGAGATCCAGCGTCGGCGACTGGAGAAGCAGTGCGAAAAGCTTCAAAGTGACTTGATCACGTCGAGTAACAAGTGCGCGAAGCTTGAAATACAGCTGACGGAGACTCAAGAGAAGATGAATGGCTCCAATGATGTGGTCGCACACTTGCGTAAGTTGAATACGGAGTTGATTGAGATTCTGGAAACGTACGGTAAGGACCCGGACGACCAGGAAGCAAATGAACTCTCGACGAAGCGTGTTGCCTTGCTGGAGTCGTCACTGAAGCAGTCACAAGAACTGTTAAAGGGGATGGAATCTACCCAGAAATCCATGGCGACACCTGCTGCTGTCAAGAAGTATGAGGCTCGGATTGAGAGACTGGAGAAGGCGCTGGCTGACGCGAAGCAGGAGAATGGGAATCTGACGAAGCATCTTGAAAAGGCAGAGATGGAGCTAGCAGTCTTTGAGAAACGATTGGGCAGAGGAGAGTTCAACGTCGAGACGACGAAGATTGTGCATCTGGCTGTCAATCCAACGCGTGAGCTGCTCCAAAGCAAGGCCAAGTCTAGTGACATTGAGAAGCTGCGCCAAGAAAATGAGGCACTACGTGCAAGACTCAGCAAACTCACGGACGGCGAAGACACAGAGGTAAGTCGTAGTAGTGCGAGCTGCTCTAATCGTGTTTGAAGGGTCTAATGTGATGTTATACGGCTTGGAGCAGTCTGTTGGTGTCGCTGCAGAGGACAAACTTACCACCACAACGTCGTACGATACGGTGGAGGGTCTCAAGAAGCTCAATCAGCGTCTCAAGCAGGTGTGTTGATTGTTTGTGTCGTTCTCGATGATCGAAGTGCCAGTAAATAACGATATTATCTTGTCCTTGTAGGTGTTTGGAGACCAAATCCGACAGTACAGAGAGGCAGTGTATTTGCTGACGGGCTACAAGGTGGATCTGAGAAAGAGTAATGGTATGGAGCTGCTTCGCCTGCGTTCCGTGTACGCCGAGCACGACGACGACGAGCTGCTGGTTCGCATGGAGGCCAACGGGTCGCTGGAGCTACTGGACAGCGAGTTCTGCTCACAGATCAACCAGCGTGTGTTTGCGTATTTGACAACATGTCGATCCTTCCCAGCGTTCTTGTCCACACTAACGCTGCATTTGTTCGAGAAGCAGACCTTCCAGGGCAATTAGAAGCTAAGCGCTCTCTGCACTTGCTCAAACTGCTCAATATACCGAAACTGTGTCTCCTTACTTTAACCCTTTTAATACTGTCAGGTTTCCTCCAATCCTGCATGTCAACAGTGTTGACTGCCACGTCAGTGTCGGTTGCAGCTGTTTGATGTTTGCACACTTCTTCAATTTCCAAACATCGGATTGGACGTCAAGCCTTTCATCACGGCGGAATCGTGTGCGCCACATTAAAGGTCATTGAAGTGCCGTTTCCAGATCCCACACAATCGAATTCGCCTTCATCAGCGCAATCGCTCCCGTTCTAAACCCGCTACAATGCTGAGTCTTGCCCGTGGAAAGCAGACCCAGTCGGTATTTGTAATGACGCAGTTGGCGCGTCGTCGCATGTCCGTGGCGTCTGGCCGTCTAGCTCAGTTTCCATTCCTGGAGGAGCTGGGACTCAAGGAGGAGAACCACGGCGTGTACAATGGCAAGTGGTTCGGCAACGGCGACGTGTACACGTCCGTGAGCCCTGTGAATGGCCAGCCTATCGCTAGTGTGCGCGCTGGTAACAAGGCTGACTACCAGAATGTGGTGGCCGCCATGGACGACGCCAAGCCCAAATGGTGCGATCTGCCAGCCCCTGAACGCGGAGAGATCGTCCGCCAGATCGGAGAGGAGCTGCGCAACAAGCGCGATGCATTGGGTAAGCTTATTTCACTCGAAATGGGCAAAATCTACGTGGAGGTACGACTTGCTTTTGAAATGCTGGCTGGATTGACGACTCTGACGCTTGTTTTGTGCGCTTCTTGGTGACTTTTAGGGCGTTGGAGAGGTGCAGGAAGCCATCGATATCTGTGAGTTTGCTGTGGGACTCAGCCGCACGCTGAACGGCTCGGTGATTCCTTCCGAGCGTCCTGGTCACTTCATGATGGAGCGTTACAACCCCCTCAAGGGCCACGTGGGCATCGTCACGGCTTTCAACTTCCCTTGTGCCGTGCTGTTCTGGAACGCGGCTCTGAGTCTCGTGTGTGGCAACACACAGATCTGGAAGCCGTCCGAGTCACTGTTGCTCACTTCCGTGGCGTGCACGAAGATTATTGCTGACGTATTGGAACGTAATGGCCACCCGGGCGCTATCGCTTCATTGATCTGCGGAAGTGGCGCAGAAGTGGGCGAGGCGATGCTGCACGACAAGAGCATGGAACTCATTTCGTTCACGGGGTCCACAAAGGTGGGTCGTCACGTAAATGAGGTGGTGTCGTCCCGCTTTGGCAAGACCATCCTTGAACTGGGCGGCAACAACGCTATGATCGTGGACAAGGACGCTGACCTGGAGATGGCGCTGCGTGCTACGTTGTTCTCTGCTGTAGGAACGGCCGGTCAGCGCTGCACGTCGCTCCGTCGTCTCTTCCTGCACGAAGACATCCACGATGATTTTCTACAGCGTCTGGTGTCTGCGTACCAGAACGTCAAGATCGGTGACCCGTTGAAGGATGGTGTTCTGTGTGGCCCACTGCACAACACTCAGGCTGTCAAGAACTACCTGGACGGTATCGACTCCATTAAGAAACAGGGTGGCAAGGTGAGTACTGCACTAGTGTTGGTGTTGAACTGTGTTCTCACAAAAATTCTTTGATTGCTTGCAGGTTCTGACCGGTGGCAAGAAGATCGAAGGTGACGGCCACTTCGTTGAGCCGACAATCGTTTCCATCGCTCACGATGCTGAGATCGTCCAGAAGGAAATTTTTGCTCCAATCCTGTACGCTCTGAAGTTTAAGACTCTTGAGGAGGCGATTGAGAAGAACAACGCTGTTCCTCAAGGCCTGTCATCGTCTCTGTTCACGAAGAACCAGGCCGCAATCTTCAAGTGGACGGGACCTCTGGGATCGGACTGTGGCATCGTGAACATCAACATCGGACCCAGTGGAGCTGAGATTGGTGGGGCTTTCGGTGGTGAGAAGGAGACAGGCGGTGGCCGTGAGTCTGGCAGCGATGCATGGAAGCAGTACATGCGTCGTTCGACGTGCACCATTAACTATAGCAAGGAGCTTCCGCTGGCCCAGGGAATCGACTTCAGCTAACTGGTACCTTGTGCAGATGGTTTGTAAGACATATAAGTGACAATCCAAACGCGTTTTTCCTCGTCATCCACAGCTATCAAGAAAGCTCAAAGCCCTCAGCATTTGTGATTGCAAACGTAACCTTCTCCACAAGGGTTTCGTAGCTAGTGTATTCCGGAAGCACGAGTTGATTGAAGCATGTGTGTGTTCGTGGCAGTGCTTGCGGGTCTAGATCTGACTTGGTCAAGTTTAACGGAGGCTCAAAGCCGTCCAGCGGAATCTTGTTCGTGCCTGTCATAAATTTCAAAAACTGACCTCGTAATTCGATTGTAAATTTACGCAAAGCCTGCCACAACCAGAGAACAACTTGGGTATGCTCATCGTAGCCACCTTGGAAAACTGTGCAGGAGCGCAGCTCTTCCACATCGATCGTTGGTTTCCCATTCACTAACATTTTTAACTCCGCCATATCAAAAAGTTTAATAGCAGACAGAGGGATGAGAGTGGTAAAACCTTGAACTACAGCATCCATTTGTGCTTGAGCGCCAAACTGTGTACGCCACTGAACCACTAGGTCTACATACTCTTGTTTGTTGACGTCTGTGACTGGAATATCTCGACCGTTTTCCTTTAAATCCACGACTATCGGCTTCTTTGCACCTCCTTCCATCTCCACACTGAAAGTCTCGTCAATCACATCTTCTATATCGTTTTCAAGCATCCACACCAAAGATTTGTGATACTGTGAATCCATTTGATAGAGATCATTCATTCCGGTAGGTAGCTGCAAAACACGCTTGTAAAAGGCGTCACATAGGGGCAAATCCAGCGTTTGTCGGTCAAATATTGCCTTTGCAATGAATTTGCCCAAAAACTTGTAGTGCTGGGCAAAATTTGGGACTTGAGACGACGCGATATCGACTGTATAAAAACCTTCATCGCAGAGTTCAAACAACCGTCGATCCTTACGAGTAGCAAGCTTCGACACTTGCAGAAACCAATCCTTGGATAGTCCACCAGAGTCGATTCCTGGTTCATTTTCGAATGAAATCTTAGGTTTGGCTACCAGATCAGCTTTCTTTAAGGAGTGAAAGTACTTCATTGTTCCCTCAAACATCGACTCGCGTTGAAGCTCAATCTTCATAATGCTGCCGAAGTTGAGACCCTGCATACTTTGACGAATTTCACGATGAAAACGAAATCGCTTCCGTCTGAAAATCATTTCCGGAGTCTCGTCAACGTTGACAAGACCCTTCTCCTCTCTGACGACGGCAAGCTCCGGAGGTTCTTCGATAACTCGCTGACTTGTGAACTTGTTGAAGTAAAACACTTGCTCTGTTTTGGGATCCCAGCATTGTACCCAGCGGTCGTAAGCTGCAATTTTCTCTGCCTTCGTGAGCTCCACGATCTCTGGTTTACCATAAGCCATAGTTTTGACAAGTTTACTCTCAACGAACATCGTAGCCCCAACAATATTTGATGCCTGTATACGAAACGTGTATGTCGTTTTTGGAGTCAGTCCTCCGACAACAAATCCAAATCCCGTCCCCTCATATACCCGGAGAAAAGACGATTGTTGACTTCCACCGCTCTCTCGTAGTTCAAGAGAATAAATAACTGGTGGTGCGCCATTGGCTTCAACAGGAAACCAGAAAATACTTGCATACGTATTGGAGACAGTACCAGCAATTGGCTGTCGTGGGACGTCTGGAGGTCCGGGCAAAGTCCAGTATATTTCACTTGCATCACTGTAGTCATTCCATCCCCCGGGATTTCGTGCTCGAACGCGGAACTCGAACGGGCTGTGGCATTTCACACCGCTTAAGCTGACATGCTTCCAGGCTGTGACTACTGCTAGTCCTGCCCACGCGTTATTGGCGCTGTCAGCTCGACGGTACTGCACCTCATAGCGATCCACCGTCGAGTCCGTTGATTTCTTCCATTTGACGACCAGCTCTGTTTGCTGCGCTTCTACCAATTTTGGTGCTTTTAGCACTGGTGGTGAATCTTTGTTCACCGCAACGTTCATGATGTTATCGACTGAAATCTTGCACATAGTGGCAGACTCGTTCGAATTGGCTTTTGGTGTACTGCCTGCTTCCGATACGAACACATTGCCGTCTTTATCGACTGCTGCGCCCACAGGGTACCGTATTGGACTCTCTCCGCCTCCTCTTCGCTTAATTTGTGCCTCATCTACTGTAATCCAGAGGTAAGACTGACCTGCTTTGGCACTCGAGCTTGGATACTTTTGCGTCTGCACCGTCACAGGTGCGTACGGAAAGAGATTCTCTACGACATGTGCCACCGCCGCTTTCTGCTTTTGTGCGGCCTCTTCCTCTCTAGGTAAGCGGTTAATAGCGGAGTTAATGCATTTAACCACTGAGTCAACAGTATGAATTGAATAACCTCTTGGCTTCCAGCTCTTCTTCGAGGTCCAGTTGCTCGTCGGAGGGGGCAGGAACTATTACGCGCGAGTTGTTTGGGGAAGACGGCGCATACGCACCCTTAGAGATTGTGGATTTTGGGGCAGATGCCCGCGCAGAGTCCTTGCCCAGGACGCCGCCCATAGTGACAGTTGAAGGGCTTCAGGACATCAACGGGTTCAGAAATTAGACATTCTCTCCTACAAACAATGAGTCAAAAGGAGCAAATTTAGAATTGCGGAACCCGCACACTTACCCAATCACACCACCAGAAACGACACTTTTCGTGCATGTCATTCCTGGATCTGCCATCAAGTGCCCAAGACTCTTCTTTCTCTATCTACAATGAGCTGCTGCCCTGTTACTGCTGAGCCTGCGCGTGACGCGGCCGACCACATCGGTGTGATGAAGAAGGCTGGCAACACTAACATCTACGTGACGGGCCCTGCCTCCTCCAAGGCTGGCGTCATTGCTTACCCGGATATCTACGGCCTGGACAGTGGCCGCACCAAGGCCGACGCCGACACGCTGGGCAAACTTGGCTACTCTGTTGTGGTCGTGGACCTCGCGGACGGTGACTATCTTAACGACACGAACGGACTTGTGGACTGGTTTAAGAAGTACACGTTCGAAGAGCACTTCGGCCCGCGTATTCAAGACGCCGTCAACTACCTTAAGAATGAGGTGGGCGTCGAGCGTATCGCCAGTTACGGTATGTGCTGGGGATCGTGGGTGGGTGCCACGCAAACTACCCTGGTGGACCCGGTTGTAGTGGGTCACGTGTCTTTCCATCCCACGTGGATTGTGGAGAATATGCTCAAGGGTGACGGCGCCGTCGACAAGCTCGCTTCTGCTGTCAAGGTACCGCAGCTGCTCATGGCTGCCGGTGACGACCCGGATTTCGTCAAGCCGGAGGGCAGCGTGCACAAGATCCTTAAGTCCCGTGAGGACATCGGCGCAAAGTCCGACGTCCTCCTGTTCGCCGACCAGAACCACGGCTGGGTACACCGCGGAGACATGGACAACGCTGCCACCAAGACTGCCGTCATGAAGGCCTGGCACGCGGCTGTCAAGTTCATTCAGACCAAGTGCCCCGTGTAAAGCGTTATCCAAATGGATCGCTCGACCGGATCGCACGCATATGAGCTTGCAGCCGCTGTAAAGGACTTTTTTAGCCTGTGGCCTATTAGGCCACAGGCTAAAAAAGTGAATTTTTCGTCAGTTATGTGCATGTACCTTATATAGCAGTATTTGCTCACGATACAACGCTATCTGGCGCAAACAATACAGTTTCAAATTTAAAACGCCTTAACTGCGATATTTTCGCATATAGCTCAATCACTTTTAATATAACTAGGCTGCAGCTGTAATATTCAAGTATACATAACAGCGTGGTATCATTGGCAAAAATATGTATCTGAAGCTAGTGCGACATCGTATTATCTATAATATATCTGGTTTTCGCGAAATCCTGGCCATTTAATTTGGAAAAAAGTCAAAGCACAGAGAGGAAGCTCAGATTCACTTGTCAATTTCCAAGATGCCCAGTACAGCCAGCCAAGTGTTCGACCGCCTCAACCGACAGTGGGAGGACGAGACCTCCAACCTCATTGGCAAGTTGGAAAGTGAGGAAGATGAAGTGTCTCGCTGCTGTATTTGCACTTGTAGAGTACCTGATATTGTACTGGCGAGATGAAATGCAACACCAAACATTGCCCCTTCACAACTTCTCACCCAATTACCCAATTTATATGAGCTTTTTTTTGTTGGAAAGATAATGATTTCTTCTCTTAAGTAGTCATAATCATCCTTGAATATCTGCTCAAATTCACATGCTACACTTAATCGAAAAGTGCGTGTCTTTCGTTCCGCCCAAAAAATCGAGGCTATGTTCTTGACATACGGCATCAGATGTTTTGGTCCTTACAAACTTTAGTATTACAATTAACAATGCCCTTTTTACTCATTTCTATGCACATTTGATCCTAGGAAGTGGGGCTGTCGGCGATGCGTTTAACACTGCATGCAGCAATCCCTACGCTGCTCCTGTAGCTAAAACCAACTTCTGCAGATGCGTTGCATTCCAAGCTGCATTCTGGCGTAAAGCTTGTCACTTTAGGCTTCTTTGTTTATTAAATATCGCAAGAAATGTTCTGTGCATGCATGATCAGCATCAATTTCCCGCAGACGTTTGAGCTTCCACCATTTTAATAAAAGACAAGAAAGTCAAACAACGTGTGTTTGTCTGTGATCTCTGTGCTACCCTGTTTCCATTGCGGGTCTGCCGGCATTAATCCGATAATTACTTTTGTATTTATGAGCAAAACAAAAAAATGGTGGTGCATTTCATCTCGCCAGTACAATAGTGTACCGGTATTGATAACAAAGAGTAATTCATAACTAAGGTATAGGCAGAACCCAGGTGTCGTTGAAATAGACCGAAGCAGATGCTGTGTGTCTTCCCATCGCATGAGCAGGATAGCGATCTTCCAACTGAAACTTCAGAGTGAACGTGTTAAGCTGCGGTAGGCTGAAAATTTCGTCGCACGTGTTTTTCGAAGATCTGATTCGCGCATAACTTGAAAATTCGCGTTTACATAATCAAATTTTCACTGCTGTCCTCACTTTTTGATTCATTTACCGTCAAAATGCTGCAGCCTTCAACGCTCACCCGTGCGCTGCGCTCCCGTGCCGCTCGCCAACTTGGCGCCGTGCAGACGGTCAGTCTGCACTCTGTTCGTGGTGCTGGACAGCAACGTGCTTCCTCTCGGGAATCTTTCAAGTGGACTGCAGCTCTAGCGGCTGGCACAGCTCTAGCTGCCGTCGGGCTCTCCGACGTCGCATTGAACGAGGACCACCACGAGTTCATTAACTGGTCAGCCACGCACGAGTGTCGCCCCAAGAACTTCCATGTTCCTGAGACGGTGGACGAGGTGGAGAAGTTGCTACAAACGTACCACAACAAGAAGCAGAAACTGCGATGCATGGGAGCTGGCGTCTCTCCCAACGGTCTGGGCTTTTCGGGCAAAGCTGCCGGCAAAGGCGATGCTTACGAGGCACTCATGACATTAGCGTTGTTCGACAAGATCCTCAACGTGGACAAGGAGAAGCTGCAGGTGACCGTGGAGACCGGTTTCATCGTCGGAGAGCTGCTGGACAAGCTGCGCGAGCACGGCATGACCATGCAGAACGTGGCTTCCATCCGTGACCAGCAGGTCGGTGGCATTTGCCAAGCTGGATGCCACGGCACAGGTGCGGGTATCCCTCCCATTGACGACCAGATCGTCGAGATGGAGATCGTGACCCCTGCCAAGGGCAAGATGACGCTCAGTGCCACACAGAACCCGGAGCTCTTCCACCTAGCCAAGTGTGGACTCGGAGCACTCGGAGTGGTGACCAAGGTCACACTGCAATGTGTTCCTATGCACAAGCTGATCGAGAAGACCACAGTGATGACGTTGGACGAGATCCGTAAGAACCACAACCGTTGGCTCGTCGAGTTCCAGCACTTACGCTACATGTGGATCCCCTACACGGACGCCGTGGTGGTGGTACAGTGTCGTCGTGCTCAGGAAGACGAACCACTGAACGACAAGCGCTTCCCTCCAGTACAGAACAGCGACAAGGTGCGTATGGAGGCCCCGCGCGAGCTGTACCTGGAGCTAACCAAGAACAATCCCGAGCCGGATTATCTCGACTGGAGCTTTACGAAGATGCGCGACAAACTGCTTGAGATCAACCCGTTGGACAAACGACACGTCGTTCGTGTGAACGAGGTGGAAAAACAGTTCTGGAAGCTTAGCGAGGGCTACCGGGTGGCGTACTCGGACGACATCATTGGCTTCGACTGCGGAGGCCAACAGCTCGTGGAGGAGGTTTCATTTCCGACTACTGGTACCCTGGATCTCGACTTTATGGAGAAACTTCTCAAGCGTATTGACGAGGAGGACATCCCGGCACACTCGCCGATCGAGCAGCGTTGGTCAGCTCGTAGCACTTCCTTGATGAGTCCGGCGTCGGCTTCCAACCCGGACCAGATCTTCTCGTGGGTGGGTGTCATTTTGTACTTGCCAACAGCGGAGAAGAAGGTTCGTACGGCTATCAAAGACCGCTTTATGGAGTTTTACGCCATGTACCGGGACTTCATGGAGCCCTACGGAGCTACGGAGCACTGGGCGAAGATCGAGTGGCCTCAAGATGCCGCCGAGCGCAAGAAGATGCGCGAACGCTTGAACAAGAGATACCCGCTTGACAAGTTCAAGAAGGCTCGCGATGAATTGGACCCTCACCACATCCTGTCCAACCACATTGTGGACGAGATGTGTGCTTAAAGTTGCTTTGCGCTTGTAGAAATGTCTCCTCTGAACATGTGAACAAAAACGATCAGCGCTTTCATGTTGAATAGTTCCATGTTTACCTGTGTCTGGTGGCTATAAAGTTGAAAACCTGATTAAACTGACCAGCAGGCAGATATGCCAGCCAAGCTGCTACGAAATTCTGACTAAAATACGCCTCAGTCGTAGATATTTCTCGAAGTTGCTCGAGCTGGTGCAGCAAACGGAGAAGTGACAGCTCTACTTGTGTCCGAACCGTAGGCCAGGTAGGGAGCGTCTCCAAATGCATTTCAGTTGCAGTCGACGACAGGAAACAGAGCCGTTGGATACAGAATAAAGACCCTGACATTGATCTCTGGGACGACGTAACAGCTTGGTCGAGCACTGTTAGAACATGGCTGAGAGATTCAACCAGCAGTACATTTGAAGGAGTAGCCAGTTGCTTGGTAGCTGCACCAGAGAGACCCCAGCTTTTCGCAACATAGCGCATCAACGAGTGAGTAGACACCAGTTGACACGGAATTTGCAGTTCGAAATCCGGTTGCTCAGGTAGCACGCCAGCAGCCCATTTGGGTATCGTAAGCTTCTCTTCCTCAGAAATCTCGACTGGCTCGTATTCCAGCAGGTACGGAATGATGTTGAAGAGCATAACTTGGAAAAGGGCACTCCCACATTCAAGCATCATTTCTGCGATGGCAGACTGGATTAGGACATCGCCTTTAATTGCGTTCACAGACGAGTCTTCAGAAAAGTCATGCACTGCAATCGCATCCAAAAGCCGCCATGTTTCGGGCTTAGTGGATCCAACAGACTCGCTTTCTGCCAATGTGGAGTCCCAGAGCAATCCCCAAAGGAGCGCTTGGATAGCAGAAATTACACTTGGTAGTGACAATCCGGCCTTTGACTCTTCCTGCATATAAACCTCCACTGCTGCCACATCGTTCAACCCCTTGCAGAGTTCACCATCGCCAAAATCACTGTCGAAAAGACTAACGAGAGTCCAGAGTGAGGCACTGAGCGGAATAGTGACCTTATCGAGCGTGACCATCGACACAGGATCAGACATCAGTTCCAATATACTTTTGAGCAACAAAAGCAATCTCTCACGAACGAGAACCGCGAGTCTCAGATCACAGACATCAGTATCAGAAGCGCAAATAGCCTCGAGCACCAGGTCAGATGCATCCTTCAAGACACCAGAATTTATATCTACTCCACCATCGACTATCGCAACGTGCCGCAATAATTGCTCGACTAGAGTGAGTAGATTCAGCTGCACCTTCAAGCTTTGGTCAGGGCGACAGCAAACAGGATTAATCACTCCGTCGAGAACGTCGGTCATCGTCACTGCTAAAGTATCCCTCTTCGAGGCAGAATCGCCATCTATCCCAATAAGAGACAGGAGAAATGACAGCACATTCTGACTTTCTCGGTCAAAGCATCTCTGGTCACTCGAAATATCGAGTAAAGTCTGCCGTAATTCACGCATTAGCAGAGTACCTGCTTCTTCTAGTGCTTGTCCCTTCCAATCTAGTAGCAACGGAGACGCGCATAACACCTTTGAGTACAAGCTGTGGTGTGACGAACCAGTCCGAGCACCTCGAACACACTGCTGGATGACTTGTCCAGGACGAAATGCAGCCAAAACAACCAGCGATTCAACATGCTCCAGCTCGCGAGCGTTGTCTGTAAGACGATTAAATATTCTTTTGATCCGTCGATCATATTCATCTCTCATCGAATCGCAGTGATCAACAAAGCAGCGTTTGCTACGCATTTGCATGCCCAGGAGGAACGATGTTTGAATCGAGATAGTAGCAAGATTTTTCAGTGATGACAACTCGTCAAAAACGCTTTCCAGTAAGTCGGCTGATACCAATGACTCATCACGTGACGAAGACCAAACGCTTACGAGCTGCTCAATAACTGCCAGCTCCATATCGTCGTCAACGAAGTCAATAGCATGATCTGATGAATCGTTAATAGCACAAGACAGAGCCTTCGCTTTTAGATATTCTTCAAAATCCGCGCCACCCACAAACGACAGTGAAGAATTTAGTGCTGAGGTTGCAACTACCTCGCCATCACCGCTCGAACTTGCCTCCGTTTTCATCAACCCCACAATCTGAGTCGCAATACTCCAGAAAACAATAGTTGGCTCTTGGTAGTCTCCATCGAGCTCCACTCTACCAGCAGATCCGCGCACAGAAGCTAACTCAGCTTGCTGTAATGAAATGATTTGCTCCGCTGCATCCATAAAGTCTCGACCACTTCGTGAATTGAAGACTCGAGGGTCCAGCACATTCGAAAGCCCCAGAAACTGCATCCAAGCATCGTCATCTTCTTCGGCTGTCTCACTCTTGTACAAAGCACTTAAACCATACTTTGTCTTAGTATTTGCAAATGCTCTTCCTTTCATCATGTCCAAAATCTCTGCCATTCGTTTCTTTCGGTCCTCAACATTTCGATCAGAAGCAGCAGCTCGAAGACACGCCGCCAAGAGCAAAGCATCCAACATTGGCTTCACCAGCTCCAACCCGTCCGTATTAAAATACGGATCTAAACAAACACTAACCATGGCTTGGATGTCTTCTGCCGCGTCATCAGCGTGATGCTGTAGCAGCCACAACAGAAGCTGCTCCTCCAGTCCACATGCCACCACCTGTAGCACCAAATCCCTCGCGGCATCATCGGATCTCCTTAAACGTTCCCATTGACGATGAGCGTTTGCAAACAATTCTTCGTCCGTGTGGCCATGATTCAAGCCCCAGTACTGTCGGATATTCGCCACAGTATCCGCAACACCATTGAACTCCATTTCTAATAGATTTAGCCCAATTACATTTATATAGATAGATCGACCAATGAGATTGCTAGAAAAAAAATGTAATTTTAGGTTAGGCGAGCTGCACGCCTACAGCTTAAACCAGGGTGCTGGTTCGTCCGTTGTTACTGTATGAGTCATTTGTGCGGGCTTTCTTCATGTAGCGAGCTCGTAGCACTTCGTAGCAGTCTTCAGCCTCCTCTGGGAGTGATTCGCCATTGATCTTTAAAAGCGCGATGGCATTCTGGTCTTCAAGTAAATCGTTCTGTCGCTTGAGCTCCTCGACCAACGTGGCAGTCAGACCTTGTAGTTGTAGGCTTGAGGAATGGCTGAAGGAATCGAGTGCCTCATCCGCTCGCCGTTTATGACTAGAACGAATGCTAAAGTTGCTCGGCTCTGTTGAGCCCTGAATAACTGCAGCAACCGCGGCTGCAGCAGTAACTGAAGGCGCCGAGGGATTATTGGAACGAGGTGGTGAAGCTGACTTAGTAGTGGTAGGAACCAGATCTGTAGTGGTAGTGGCACCTTCCGCTGGGGTGAATTCCTCATCACTGGTTGTCGAAGACGGCGCAGCGTTGGTCTCCTCCGTCACCACTGTCGATGTCGGCAAGGAGCTTACTATCACTACCGGATTGCTTCTGGAGTCGGCAAATAGCTGCAGCCACTTAGTGGAGTACCGTAACTGCTTCCAGCAGCTCTCAAAGGAGAACTTCGTGTTGTAATAACGGTGAAACGCGTCTTTGGCCTCATCGATCCACTGCTGTTCCGTCAACAGTGCTACGGCGGCAGCGTCGCCAGAGTCACCACCACTCACCTGTTCTTGCTTCATGCCCTTGCTCTGAATTTCGCTGAAAATGGCTGCGAACTTTTGCGAGTCGCGGTTAATCCGCGTCCAGCGGACCTTGAGACCGTTGAGTGGACGCTCCACCGCCGTTTCCAGCTCTTGGTGGAACAACTCACGCACCATGTTCCAAAAGTTGGATGCCTTGTGGTCTCCTCCCTGCAGCTGCAGGTCGCTAGCGGTCAGCCATACGCGGCACAGGGCCTTGTCCTCAGCCGAGCTCCAGTTCGTCTTCTTCCCCATAATGCAGACCTTTTAGAAACGCGTTTCGTTTCTTAGTGCAGGAAGAGATACTCCTTCCCTACAAACCCTCTTACTCTCGTTTATTTCCGATCGAACTTAAAGCGAATGCCTGTCATTTCAGATGTCGAATCGAGCATGGCAATTGGCGGCGACGACCGCCGCGCTAGCGGCGGTGCCGCTTGCGTACTGGCAATACCAGCGATACAGGTGCGTGACCTAAGCTACATTGTAGCTGTGTAGTAGCTGGCGTGATTTCAGCTCGAAAAGTTCGTTTCTGTAAGTTTAAACTGCTTGGTTGACCTCTTGGCATGGATGTGCGGCGTGTCCCGTATCACCACAGTGACCTGAACGAGCGACGCGAGTCAGTTAAGCTTCTGCGGAAGGTAGAGCTTGTTGCAATGGAAGTATCAGTGCGGCTGATGCACCTGGAGAACCAAGTGAAGGAGTTGGTGGAGTACGACGCCAAGAAAGAGGCCGGCGATATTGAAGAGGAGGACCCTGCTGCCGATTCCACACTGAACTCCTGTATGTCCGTGCATTATTAGCCACTTTTCCTTGCCACCTGTTCATCGTTGCTGGTACTGGGGTGACTTATGGAATAATTGTGTAATTTTCGCTGCTGTAGACTATCACTTTGACTCGCAAGGAAACAAGCTCAAGACGAAGTGGGACTCATACGACGTGGATGCTGAGCTCGATCGCCTTGAAAAGGAAGAGCGAGGAGTCGAAGTGGCTGCACCTGTAGCTAAGCAGCGTATACTTAGGGCACCCCAAATTACCAGATCGAAGGCCCTCGCTTCCTCGCAAGGTATTGAACACGAATTTGAGGCTGTGCTGTCCTTTTTGGACGACATCCGCGGAGACGACGAGGTCAAGCAGCTACGCAAGGCTATTGCGAACAAGGTCACGAAGGAATACTTTGCCCGCATCGATGCGATTCAGACGATGCTCGCCTGAAGTAGCAGCAACTTCATGTCTACAATAAAAACACTTTTTTTGTCAAAACCCGTAATTAATAATGCCAACTCATATCGAATTCCGCAACCTTTCTAAGTCAAACGAAATCGATGGGGCGGAGCTCTAGTCCGCGTCGGCGTTACCGGAGTCCGTCTCCTCGACATAGTCGCAGCCGGACCCGCACATCATACAGAGACTCGAGACGTCAACGCAGTCGAAGCAGCGGTCGGCGCTCTCCAGCACGCTCTCGTTCTCCGCGTCGAGGGCGTCAAAGATCGTCGAGTTTTCACAGGGACCGAGAGCCTATGGGGCGCTATGGACCTTCGAGCGGCTCCAGCGGTCTCAACAGTAGAGGGGGCAGAGGAGGAGGACGATACGGTGGCAATGACCAGACGGACGACTTCTTTGAAGAAAGAAAGAGACAGCGAGACACCGTCGACTTTAGTATTTGGGCAGGCATCCCCAGCCCTCCGCCCATGAAGAAGAAGATCAAGAAGGAGAAGAAGAGAGAGCCCACACCATCTCCCTCCAGATCTAGATCACTTTCAAGATCACTTTCAAGATCACTTTCTAGATCTCGATCTAAATCTAGGTCCGACGTTTCTAGTTCGGACAGTGAAGAGGAGCGACGTCGACGTAGAAAAAGCAAGAAGAAATCCAAGTCTTCGCGTCGCTCTCACAAGAAAAAAAGCTCCAAGAAAAGCAAGAAACACAAGAAGGAGAGCAAGAGCAGACGCAAGCGTCGCCGACGCTCATACAGCGACAGTGAGAGTGACGACAGTCGTAGTGGCAGTGAATCGGACGCGTCGGTGGCTTCAGAAAGGAACAAGGGGAGGAAACTCAGCGTCGATAGTCGAGACAGCACTAGTGGACTGGATGAGAATGAGAAGAGGGAAACGGCCAAGTTTAAAGAGGCGGTGCAAGGCTCACGCAAGGACGAAGATGACGACGAGGAGATTGGACCGAAGCCTTTAGTTTCAGCCGATGATGAGACGTCGGCTGCTTCGTCGATGAACTACGGTAAGGCGCTGCTGCCTGGTGAGGGTGCAGCTATCGCGCAGTTCGTGCAGAAGAACATGCGTATCCCTCGTCGTGGTGAAGTTGGCTGGCACGGTGAGGAGATCGAGAACCTGGAGAATCTGGGCTACGTGATGAGTGGTAATCGTCACAAACGCATGAATGCTGTCCGTATTCGAAAGGAGAACCAAGTTTACACTGCCGAAGAGAAGCGAGCACTTGCGCTCATCAACTTTGAAGAAAAGCAGCAGCGCGAAAACGCCATCATGAACGATTTTAAGGAGATGCTGACTGCCAGGCTGACGAAGAAGCACGGTTCGAGACTGGTTGAAGACATGGAGTCAGCAGCCAAAGATTAAACGGATGAGGCATGTATCTTTGGAAATCGTACCACAGAATCTGTGGAAGGTATAGATCAGTTGTGCAATCAAAACTATATCATACATCAGTGTCGCTACCGCTATAATTGTTCATTGTTTATGAGGAAGGGCAACGCATACCCTTCGATAACAAACGACGTCCATTATAGGGATATTGCGCTTTAACTTGAGGTAAGCGTTTCTTTTCATCTTACGTGTCCGCGCACTTCATGTAGAACACTCTTTGTCTTTGCTGCTGCTCAATTGGATCTGGCGCTCTTGAGAACGTAGTCTAAAGAACAGCAACGTGAATTACTTTAGGCAATGCTTGTCAAAGCAGCCATTCTTACCTGAAACTCGCTGGTTCATATTCGAATTCGTCCTTTCAATACCCCCACCCAGAGCCCGATCGAAAAGACTTACAATACCGGATCAAGGGTGCTCATCACAAGGACACACGTACGTCCTTGATACACTACCACATACGTAGAAGTCGTGACGGGGGATAGCTCTCCATCGCAGTATTGTGTAAACGAGGAACTCACTACCGTCCTCCTCGACCATTTTCAATAAGCCGAACGCTTTCAACGAGCTCACTTTATAGAACAGCTCCCCATTCTGCCAAGCATATCCATTGAGTAGGACTAACTTGTACCGTACCCCCAGTGTCAAATCTACACAACACGGCTGGGAGGATACTCGCAAAGTACCAAACTTCCTCAAGACGAATACAATAGCACCAATCGATCGAGTACAAACAATAACAAAGACACATCCCAATGCAATAATTCCGTGGCCCACCAAACTCATGACGTAGTATGACACTGCCTTTGCTTCCGATTCAGTATCGCGAAGACCTGATCGATTCAATGTCGATAAATAGTACTGCGTCACTGCCGCAGTGATAAGTTCGCCTACTAATAATAACGCTGTTTCATAGTTGAACAACAACCGCTTTACCAGAATCCGAGCTTTCTCCGTCATCCAACGCATCGATTCAACCATCTCAAACATCATCGACATAAGGCCAGCTAAATTGTAGCCAAGCGAGATACATTGGATCCGACCGACGAGTCCTTCCTGAGTGATTAGAAGAAAAAGATCGCTCATCAGACCCTGATCCAGCAGCAAGAACAGCAGAACACCACGCTGGTAGTTGTTTGCTCCATGTGCAGACAATCTCATTGTCTCTTGGACGTACACGAATGCTTCCTGGAAGCGAACATGCTTTTCGGAGATTTGGTCGCAGCTTGCCAAATCGCTTACAAGTAGTATAGCTTCTTCTGAGCACCCAGCATCGAATAAGTACCAGCGTCAAGCCTGCAAAACGCATACCAGTACGACCTTAGATAACCAACTCGACCTTTGTCATTAGCCAAAGAAGCTCCGCTGGTGTCAAGTGTCCCAACGCTTGTGTTGCCCAAAGAGCAGAATGTGCCTTCACCTTTAGCGTAGAATGAATAGTATAATATCCGATGCTCCCATGGTAAAAGTAGCTGGCAAATCTACAGCTTTCACTTGAGCAGCCAGGCGGTGTAGTCGTATATGGTTCTACCGTCGTATTTTTCAAAAAGTATACACCGTGGATATTGTACTACGGCATGACGTACCGTATTTGAGATCTCCTACTTCAGAGTGATCTCCTAATTCAGACTGCCCTCCAACCAATCACATATCGAGAATGGAACAGCGCACAAGTCTAGATCTCCTAATTCAGAGTACAAAAAACATGCTAAACTGGAACTTTCCACCAACACGTTTGCGTGCCAGCCGGCTGATATTTCGTGGAACAAGCCATTAAAAGACAAAATGCGGAAAAATTGGGTGGAGAACATGTTGAAACAACTACACGCTTCAACTTCGACGCTTCCGTTTAAGATAAAAGCACCTACACGGCAGCAATTAATAGGTTGGACGAAGAATTCGTGGAATGCGTTGTCTCGCAAAACGGTTAGAAGCGGATTTGAGAAAGCAAAAATGGTATCCATTGAGCCTACTGAAAACTTAGAGGCTGGAACGGAGCTTTCCAACAGTGAACCTGATTGGGAGCTGCTACGACGGTTGCTGGAAGAAGTGCCCGTAGTGCGCCATGCTGTGGATACGCGTCACGACATAGAAAACTTCGTAGTTCCCGAAGAAGAACTTGATAACTAAATTGTTTTGTTTAAATAATACGTGATAGAGATGCGTCGGTACGTGTACAGATCTTGTGCATTTTGCAACAATACAACTTCAAAAATATTGGGTCTGAAGTAGGAGATCTCAAATACGGTAATGACAAAGAACTCCATTCGTGACGACGTAGTAGTGTGTAGGAGCAATGTTCCAAAGGCTCCAGCCATGAACAATTCGTTTACAGAACAAACTTTGTGATGATCCAAATACTCTCCTCGAATATAAACTCCGTTAGCTGGCGTTATCAAGGTTTGCGATATCTTGTGCGGCGTCACAAATTGCGCGTAGCATTTGATCTGAAGAAAAGCAGCCTGGGTGCAACTTTTTCTCGAGTAACTGACGGATTTCTTTCGAGGAAGAGCACCTTTCGGCGTCTTTTCAAGTAAAATACTAGTTGGTCACGCGAGCGGGATGTGAAAGCTCGCGTGATCAACTACTTCATGCGCTGCGATAAGATCATATTGCAGCTGCTGCAGCAGCATGGTATGGCAAGCATCTTCTCCACTGAGACGGGGAAGAAGGAGAAATGTAACATTCTCAGGAAACATCTCGAGCCTGCTGCGTTGCGTGAGGCTGTGGACACACCAGCAAATCGGACGAGAGTGCACTTTACATGCTTGTGAAGGAAAAAGCGCTGGAGCAAGAGCGAGTGTATCAGTTGCTGGCCAAACGTAGGCATCAACCGACCACTTCGCACAATAATGGGAAAACGAAGAGCGATGGTGACCAGGGGTCCCGTCATGGCAACCAGCGTTCCAGCTCCGATCGGAAGGTTAAAAAACCCTCCGAACGTGGACGTTCTGTGCAGGCACAGACCAAGCCTGCAGCAGCGTCTCAGGGCAAGCCGCGGACTGGCTATTTTCACTGTGGCAGGGACCACTGACTCAGTCAGTGCCCGGACCTAGATGAGGCTGCGAAAGAAGCCATTTTGGCCGAAAGAAAAAACAAGAGAGGTGTCAACAATGAAAAGAACAAGAAATTGCGCTCGAAGCGCGTCGATGCACCTTCTACGACGAACAAGGAGTGTTGCCCTACGGCAGTCATCAATGGAACACTGGAGTTGCCGTATTGCGCCGACAGCGGCTCGGATATGAACATCATTTCGCGTAAGCACGTCGATCTGCTTCGTGAGCAGGATGCGGCCGTTGTGCTAGTCGAATTGGATGCACCAATCACTTCGAGGGCTGTTGGTGGAGCTTTGCTCACCTCAACACATACAGTTGAAGTTCGACTGACGCTTAATGCTGCAACAGGGCCCGTGAGGTGCCAAGATGCAAAAAAGTGTTTGATTGTCGAGACCGAAGAAGACGAATTTATCGTTGGTAAACTGTTGCTGACCAAGCTAGGTATCGATGTGGACCGCCAATTAGAGTATCTGGCTACTCGTGGAGTGGAAGATGACGATCTGTGTGGCGATGCTGAGGGAATGCCACCATGTAAACCTGTTTTTGGCGACGTTGTGATGAAAGTTGTGGATGCATATGTGTGTGACGCTATGTACCGTGGTGTGATTGACGAGTACACAACTAGTCGCTTGTATGGGGTGGTTCGAAAGTATGGCGGATGGCGTTTAGAGCTTAGGGATGACCCTTCTGCGCGTGTACCCGCGCTGAAGATCAGGTTGAAACCAGGTGCGACACCATATCGGTGTAAAGCTCGACAGTATAGCCCGGAGAAATCTAAATTTATGGCCGAGTTCAACAAGAAGCTGGTGTCACTCGGTTGGGTATACGAAAATTGTGCGAGCCGTTGGTGTTGCCCTGCTTTACCTGTGACGAAGCCACACACCAGCGAATTTAGACAAACTGTGGATTATCGACCTACAAATGCTGTGACCGAGCCGATTGCCGGCGTAATGCCAAGTCTTGAGGTGGCCCTCGAGCACTGCAAAGGAAAAAATGTTTTACGCGGTGTTGGACTTCTTGAAGGGATTCTGACAGCTACCCTTGGACGAGAGTTGTCAAGAAATCCTCTCTTACATGACAGACCGAGGAGTTTTTACACCTACACGAGTACCTCAGGGGAGTATAGACGCAGCACTGCACTTTCAGTCAGCAGTGGAAATGGTATTGGGCGATCTGGTGAACAAGAGCGTTATAGTATGTATTGATAATTTGTTGGTTTTCGCTGACGCTGCAGAAGAGTTAGTGGATGCGATCGATGCTGTACTGGTGAAGCTAGACAAGCATGGACTTTTGCTCAGCCCAAAGAAGAGCGCCCTCTTTCTTACTGAAGTGCGATGGCGCGGTCGTATTATCAACCGACTCGGGATCGGGCACGACCCAGAGCGAATCCAAGCTCTGCGCGACATGCCCGTGCCACAGACCGCTGCAGAGCTGCAACAGTTCCTCTGTGCGAGCAACTGGATGAGGTCAGGGCTCGTAGACTATGCTCAGGTAGCACGACCACTACAGGAGCGGCTTGATAGCTCTCTTACCGACTCCAAAAAGACGAAACGTATCGCCGCAGGCATTAAGCTAAATTTGACTGAAGCTGAGGTTAAATGTTTCAACTCTGTGAAGGACCTGCTCGGCAATTCGGCAATGCTCACATTTCCAGACCCGGCCAAACAACTGTGTGTTTTGAGCGATGCTTCTGACTATGGATGGGGACTTGTGGTCACACAAGTGGGTCAGTGGCAAGATGATGTACCGATTCACGAACAGCACCGCGAACTGGTCGTGTGTATGGGCGGGAACTTCAAAGGCTCTGCACTTAATTGGAGCGTCATTGAGAAAAAGTTTTTCCCAATTGTACACGCGTGCGAAAGACTAGAGTACCTACTTATACGTCCCCAAGGTTTCAAGCTTTACTGTGACCATCGAATATCGTGTATCTCTTCACTCCGAACAAAGAACTGAAGAAGCACGCCCGGGGTAAGTTGCTGCGCTGGTCCACGAAGTTATTGGAGTATAGATACTCGATCGAACACATTGAGGGAATCCATAACGTGTGGACAGACCTGATCTCGAGGTGGGGTGGCAAACCCCTACCTACTGCGCGCATGCAGTCAGCCAAGAGATTCACACGTGCCAACCGGAAGCGTGGCAGCAGTGCAGTGACAAGCACAACACCACCACCGTTGCGTCCACTAGATCGGGACGGATTTGTGTGGCCCACTATTGAGGAAATCGGAAGCGTGCAAGCATTGCACGATGCGCCAAAGGGTGCAACGCTGAGTGATGATGACCTGTGGCTCGTGAATAACATGATGTGGATACCGAGTGGAGCTCACGACTTTACTCAGAGACTTTTGATAGTCGCTCATTGTGTTAGAAATGGACACCGCGGCATACATGTGATGGAGAACCACATTCGCCGGTTGTTCTACATTAATGGCCTCACTAGGATAGTAAAGGATTTCTGCTCGAAATGCCTCCTCTGCCTACATGTGAAGGAAGGGGTGGTGATCCCCCGACCTTTTAGTGAGACCCACCATACTTATGAACGGAACGAGACGCTACACGGGGACTTTTTGACTCTGGGCGACTCTTTTGGTACCTCTCGCTCTACGCTCGTCCTGAAGGACGAGGCAACCCACTTCACAGAGTTGGTGGCTTGTGACAGCCCAGCATCTGAAGTTGCAGCGAGTGCCATCCTGGACTGGTACAGCCGCTTTGGAGCGCCTAGGGTGTGGGTTAGTGACTCGGGATCTCATTTTAAGAGCAAGGTGGTGGAAGATCTAGGCCGGAGACTGAAAAGTCGCCAAGAGTTCGTGCTAGCATACTCACCTTGGAAAAACGGCTCAGTGGAGTGCGTAAACCGGGACATCCTGCAAGTACTAAAGGCACTGGCACTTGAGTACAAGATCAGCTTGCGCGACTGGCCCTACCTACTCCCGATGGTACAGTCCAGCATAAATCACCGGTACCGTCACTAGCTAACCGGGCTCCGATTGAGTTATTTACCGGATTGCCATGTCCCAGTGCATTGGACACGGTATTTTTCCCGGGAGGGAAGGGGCGTGTAGCTACGCTGGACCAACCAACGCCAGGTACAGTGGAACGACT